ACATGTCTCTCTTTTGCCTGGACCCTGCTTTCAGTCAGCATTGTAGCATTTCTCAGCACTGTAGCCAAACAATATGACTCTTTTGCCTGGGCGGTGTTTACAGGAGACATTGTGAAATATCTCTAGGCCCATAATGTATGCGATATGACTCTACTCTCCTGCCTGGACAGTGCCCAAAAGGGGCATTGTGCCATAGAGCTGGGCCTGGCCCCCAAGTTTTGTGACTTTTCTGCCAGGACACTTCCTACAAGGAGAATATTGGAATATTTCTGGAAAAGCATTTAGGCAATTGAGCTGTCCTGCCGGTCTCAAAACCACAGAGGGGATTGACATACACCTAGGTATAGCTCACAGGCATGATAATGACTCTTATATGTGGACCCAGCCAATAAAAGAAATTTTTACTCTCAAGACTAGGTTTAGAGACACTAGTAATGTCCTCAATCTCCTTCTGGTATAAAGGTCGCAGAAGATTACAATACTCATACATATTATATAAAGACCTGTGTTGTTCAAAGAGGGTCATAACATGGCCCAGCACACAGGTGAAATTCTGAGTCTCATATGCACACCCAGCTGACAGTAAGAACTGTCACTGTCTCACATATATGAAGCCAACTGTCACACATGAAAACAGGACATATGTGGCATTGTAAATCTCATCCCTGGAATTCTCTGCCAGTGTGATTGTGATATGTATCTTTGCCAAGCACCTGTGTAATTTGACTCTCCAGATTGTTTCCAGCCCATATATGGGACTGTGATATCTATCTAGGCTAACCTCTTTGTGATATGACTACTCTGCCTGGGGCCTACTCTCAGTAAGGATTGTGACATATCTCTGGATCAAGCATCCGGGTGATGTTACATTCTTGCATGCACCATGACCACAGACATTACTGTGATATGTCACTGTATCCACCACTTAGTTGACATAACTCTCCTCTCTGGACTGAGCTCTTCATATGGGTGGGGATAGTGACATATTGCTAGGCCAGGCACACAGGTGATGGTACTCTCTTTCCAGGGTCATGCCCAAAGAAGGGCATTGTGACATATCTCTGGGCCTATTACCTAGGTGGTACGGGTCTCCTACTTCTGTCCTGCTCACGTGGATAGTGACATATTGCTATGCCAGGCTCACAGGTGATGGTACTCTTTTGCCAAGGCCATGCTTCATGTAGGGAATTATGACACATCTCTAGGCCTATCACCTAGGTGATGTGACTTTCTTCTTGGGTGCTGACCACATGGAGCATTGTGGCATAAGGGTGGAACCTGCACCTAAGTGATGTAACCCTCTTGCCTAGGTTCTGTTTTAAGGGAGCCTTATGACTTATCTCAGGACCCAGCACCCAGTTTATATGGTTCTTCTGCCCAGTTTCTGCCCACATGTTAGACTGTGACAAATACATAGGGAAGCACGTAAGTGATAGGACTCTTTTTTTTCTACCTCAAGCCTGCATACTGAGGAAGTTGGAACACATCTCTGAGCCCATGACATAACTGATGCGACTTTCTTCTCTTGCCTGGACCTTTACAATGGGGGGATTGTGACATATATCTGAGCCCAGCACTTAGGTAATATGACTCTCCTCATTTTTCTGAATCATGCACACAAAGGGAAATTTTGATCAATTGCAGGGCCCAGCACCCAAATGATGTTACTCTTCTGCCTAAGTCCTGAATTAAGATGGAATTATGGCATATTGCTGGGCCCAGCACCCTGACGATGTGACTCTCCTGCCTGTTCCAGAGCCACAGAAGGTATTTTGGCATGTCTTAGGCCCATCCTTTAGGTATTTTGGCTCTCATGCTTCATCTGTGTTTATTCCACATGTATTAATCTGTCATATTGCTAGATCCAGCACCCAGTTTATGTGACCCTCCTTCCTAGGGCCTGCCTAGAGAGGGCATTGTGACATACTGCTGGACCAAGCACACAGGTATTGGTACTCTTCTTCCAGGGCCATGTTTCAAGGAGGACATTGTGACATATCTCTGGGCCTGTTACCAAGGTGATGTGACTTTCTGCTTGGGCCTTGCCCACATGGAACATTGTGAAATAAGGGTGGAACCTGCACCTAGGTGATGTTACTCTTTTGCCTGGTGTGATGGTTAATACTGCATGTCAACTTGATTATATTGAAGAATGCAAAGTATTGATTCTGGGTGTGTCTGTGAGGGTGTTGCCAAAGGAGATTAATATTTGAATCAGTAGGCTGGAAAAGGCAGAGCCATCCTTAATCTGGTGGGCACCATCTAATCAGCTGCCAGTGAATATAAAGCAGGTAGAAAAATGTGAAAAGGCGAGACTGGCCTAGCCTTTTAGCTAACATCTTTCTCTTGTGCTGGATGCTTCCTGCCCTCGAACATCAGATTCCAAGTTCTTCAGTTTTGGGACTCGGACTGGCTCTCCTTGCTCCTCGGCTTGCTGACAGGCTGTTGTTGGACCTTGTGATCATGTAAGTTAATACTTAATAAACTAACTCCCATACACATATATGGGAGTTTATTATGTTATATATATATGTGTGTGTGTGTATATATATGTGTGTGTGTATGTGTGTGTATTCTATTAGTTCTGCCCCGCTGGAGAACCCTAACACAGATTTTGGTACAAGTAGTGGTTCTAACAGAAAATTAAAGACGGAGTTCTTTCATTGGTTTTGGGGTTTCTGGAGTTGGCTGCTTAATATGATTAGACCCCAAAATGCTAAGGACTCTACTTCTAATAGTATGAAGAACACTGATAGTCCTTGGCATGAACTGTTTACAGAGTTATGCAAAATAAATGCATTTGACACTCCTGATTTACTGCTTGTGGGGGCAAGAAGTTTAGTGACTCTACATATAATGCCTTTGACCATATGTGGAGAATCATGGAACATAATGAAGCTTGTTGGTTGCTCCTAAGTTCAGTGGACAAAGTGATGAAAGAAAATGACAACATCAGGGATGCCATCTTGTGGCTTCAGAAGCAAATACTGAGCCTCAAATCTGCTAAGATTGCCCTGAATGAGAGTCTTATCTGCTGTAGAGAAAGAGCTGAAATTGTGGAAAAACAGACACAAGCTCTTATCATGAGAATGGCTGACCTGCAATGGAAGATGCATGCACAGCCTCTCCAGGTGTCTACTATTAAAGTGAGGGTATTGATTGGAAGAGAATGGGATCCTGAAACTTGGAATAGGGATGTGTGGGAGTACCCTGATGAAGTGACGGACACTGAATTTTTAAACTCTGATGAACCTATTTTACCAGAAGGAACAGTTTCCCCATCCCCGTAGTGGCAACATCCCCTTTCCAACCCATGCTGCCATCAGCATTTCCACCTTTGTCTGAGGAGATAAACCCTGGGTTGCCTGACAATATTCTGTTCCTCTAGATGGCCTCCCCTGAGGCAGTTGCCAGGCAAGATAATGTTGATTCTCCACAGGATCCACCCCCAACACTCCTGTTTTCTTCTAGACCTATAACTAGACTAAAGTCCCTGTGGGCCCTAGAGGTGTGGTTGAGAGTGTGACCCATGAGAAGGTATGCTACACTCAAAAAGAACTGTTTGAGTTCTCTAACTTATATAAACAGAAATCTGGATAACGGGCATGGGAATGGATATTAAGGTTAAGGGATAATGGTGGAAGGAACATAGAGTTGGATGAGGGTGAATTTATTGATTTGGGCCCACTAAGTAGGGACTCTGCATTTAATGTTACAGCTTGGGGAGTTGAAAAAGGTTCTAATAGTTTATTTGCTTGGTTAGCTGAAATATGGATTAAAAGATGGCCCTCTGTGAGTGAGCTCAAGATGCCTACTCTCCCTTGGTTTAATGTAGAGGAAGGTATCCAAAGGCCTAGGGAGATTGGGATGGTGGAGTGGATTAGTCACTTTAGACCTACTCATCCCAGCTGGGAAGGTCCAGAAGATATACCCCTGACCAATGCCTTCTGATATTGTTTGTGATAGGTTTGTGGGGGCAGCACCTGCATCTTTGAAGAGCCCTGTAATTGCTCTTCCCTGTATGCCAGATCTAATGGTGGGAAATGCAGTCACTCAGCTACAAAATTTAAAATCGGTAGGAATCATTGGATCCCAAGGTGGCAGGGACCAAGTGTTGGCACTCAACCAACAAAGGCAAGGTGAGCGTAGCTACCATAATGGACAGCAGAGGCAAAGTGGCAGTCAGAATAGTCTCACTTGTGTAGAGCTCTGGCATTGGTTAATTAATGACGGTATTCCTAGAAGTGACACTGATAGGATGCCTACTGCATTCCTACTTAATTTATATAAGGAGAAAACTTCTAGGTGGAATGTTTTGTTCATTCAAACATAGTGAGGTTAAAAGGGTGTTGATTGTTAGGGCTAGTATTAGGTTGATTACTCCTTTTTGAGTATTGTCAAAGCTGATTGATTGGAAGTCAATTGTACTGGTTATACTAAAAGAGTAGGACCCTCATCAGTAAATAGAGATATAGAGGAGTAATCAGACAACATCTACGAAGTGTCAGTATCAAGCGGCGGCTTCAAAGCCAAAGTGATGGTTTGGTGTGAAGTGGTATAATAGTTGGCGAATGAGACAGATAAGGAGGAAAGTGGACCCAATGATGACGTGAAGTCCATGGAAGCCCGTAGCGATAAAGAATGTTGAACCATAAATACCGTCGGAAATGGTGAAGGGTGCTTCAAAGTACTCTGAAATTTGTAGTAGGGTGAAGTAGGTGCCTAGTAGAATTGTAATGAGTAGGGCCTGGATTGTTTGTTTTCGATTGTTGTTTATAAGGCTGTGGTGAGCTCAGGTAATTGTGACTCCTGATGCTAATAATACGGAGGTATTTAGAAGGGGTACTTCTAAGGGATTTAAGGGGGTGATACCTGTTGGTGGTCAGTGGCCTCCTAAATAAGGGGTTGGGGCGAGGCTTGAGTGGTAAAATGCCCAGAAGAAGCCGGTGAAGAAGATCTCTGAGATAATGAATAGGACTATACCATATCGAAGGTTTTTTTGAACGGGTGTCGTGTGATGTCCTTGATAGGTGCTTTCTCGTACGATGTCACGTCATCATTGGTGGAGGGTTAGTGTTGTGGTTAGTAGGCCTAGTGTCAATAGAGTGGTAGAATAGAAGTGAAACCACATGGCTAAGCCGGATGTTATTAGGAGGGTTGATAGAGCTCCTGCTAGTGGTCAGGGACTGGGTTTGACTATGTGATAAGCATGGGATTGGTGAGTCATTAGGTGTTGTTGTGCAAATAGAGGCTGATTAGAAGTGTGAAAACATAGGCCTGGATTAAAGCAACTGCGACCTCTAGGATGGTAAGTAGTATTAGGAGTATGAAGATCAGCGAAGCAGCGGGGGGGCTGATAGTTAGTAGTGTTAGTGTGGCGTTTCCAATTAGGTGTGTTAGCAGGTGACCGGCCGTAATGTTAGCAGTTAAGCGTACAGCCAGGGCTACTGGTTGAATGATCAGGCTAATGGTTTCGATTATTACTAGTATGGGGATAAGTAATGTTGGTGTGCCTTGTGGTAGGAGGTGAGCTAGGGAGTTTTTGGTTTTAAAGCGAAGGCCTGTAATCACTGTGCCGGCTCATAAGGGGATTGCTATAGCTAGGTTTATAGATAGTTGGGTGGTAGGTGTAAATGAGTGGGGTAGGAGTCCCAGAAGGTTAGTTGTGGTAATAAAGATAATTAGGGATATTAGTATTAAAGATCAGGTTCGCCCTTTAGCATTGTGGGTTATTATTATTTGCTTTAGAGTGAGTAGTACTAGGTTACGTTGAATGGTGATTAGTCGGTTGTTAATGAGATGTTTGGAGGTTGGGATTAGTAATACGGGGAATATAATGATGGGGATTGTAGCAGGTTGGTTTAGAATTATAGGAGTTGCGAATAAGGTAAATAAATTTTCGTTCATTTTAGTTGTCAGTGGTTATTGGGGGTTTGCTTATCAGAGTTTTTTTGTTGGGGGGGTTGGTAGTAATTTATGTTTAGCAGTTTTAACTGTGTAATAAGCACTTTGGGAGGCCGAGGCGGGCGGATCACAAGGTCAGGAGATCGAGACCATGGTGAAACCCCGTCTCTACTAAAAAATAGAAAAAAATTAGCCGGGCGCAGTGGCGGGCGCCTGTAGTCCCAGCTACTCGGGAGGCTGAGGTAGGAGAATGGCGTGAACCCGGGAGGCGGAGCTTGCAGTGAGCCGAGATTGCGCCACTGCACTCCAGCCTGGGCGACAGAGCGAGACTCCGTCTCAAAAAAAAAAAAAAAAAAGATATAGTGTAGGGAGCGCTGTTGTGATAGTGATAAATCATGTGGATGTGTCTAGTTGGGGCATTTTGCTGCAGAGGGTATACCCCTCAATTTTCAACTTAAAAGGTTAACGCTAGGATAGCTGTGCAGTGCATTTGTAAAGTGGGGGAGGGGGTAGGGTGCTTATAGGGTAAACACAGGTCCTATTTCAAAAATTTTTAATGGGATTAGTTCTGCGACGATAGGCATAAAGCTGTGGTTGGCTCCACAGATTTCTGAGCATTGTCCATAATAGACGCCTGGTCGTGTGGCGGTAAATGTAGTTTGATTTAAGCGCCCAGGCACTGCATCTGTTTTTAAACCTAGTGTAGGGATAGTTCATGAGTGTAGGACATCTTGAGATGTGATTATTATACGGACGGGGGCTTCAATTGGGAGAACCACTCGGTTGTCAACTTCTAGAAGTCGAAGGTCCCCTGGGTTTAAGAATAATGGAGGTAGCATGTAAGAATTAAAGATGAGGCCTCCATAGTCTGTGTACTCATAGGTTCAGTATCATTGATGTCCGATTGATTTAATAGTAAAGGAGGGGTTGTTGATTTCGTCTGCTAGGTACAGAATGCGTAGAGATGGGAGGGCAATTAGGACTAGAATGACTGCGGGTAAGATGGTTCAGGTGGTCTCTATTTCTTGGGCATCTGTAATGTTGGTATTGGTTAGTTTTGTTGTGAGTGTTGAGGAAAGGGCGTATAAGACTAGAAAGCTAATTAAAGAGATAGTCATAAATGCATAGTCGTGGAAGGTAATTAATTCTTCTATAACGGGAGATGTAGCATCTTGTAGACCTAGTTGAACTGGGTGGGCCATGTAAGATATATAGGGTTATAGCCTATAATTTGGTTTTGACAAAGCCATGAAATAGTTTTTCTAATATCTCATTGAAAGAGTTATAGGGGCTATAGGATTGGCTTGAAACCGGTTTTAGAGGGTTCGACTCCCTCCTTTTTCGCTCAGTTTAATATAGGCTGGTTCTTCAAATGTGTGGTAAGGCGGGGGACAGCCATTTAATCATTCGAGGTTGGTGGAGGATTGCTCGGTTATTGATACTTTCCGTTTTGAGGCGAAAGCCTCTCAGATCATGTAGATTATTAGGATCACTGCTACTAGTGAAATAAAGGAGCCTACGGACGATAGAATATTTCATGTGGTGTAAGCATCGGGGTAGTCAGAATAGCGTCGGGGTATTCCGGATAGGCCAAGGAAGTGTTGTGGAAAAAAGGTTAAATTTACGCCTGTGAATATAATAATAAAGTGGGCTTTGGCATAGGTTTGGTCTAATGTGTAGCCTGAAAATAAAGGGAATCAGTGGACAAAGCCCCCTATAATGGCAAAAACAGCTCCTATTGACAAAACATAGTGGAAATGGGCGACAACATAGTATGTATCGTGTAGTACAATATCTAGGGATGAGTTTGCTAAGATAATACCGGTGAGACCCCCTATGGTGAATAGAAAAATAAAGCCTAGGGCTCAAAGTATTGCGGCAGATCATTTGATATTGCCTCCATGAAGTGTAGCAAGTCAGCTGAAAACTTTAACTCCAGTAGGAATTGCAATGATTATAGTAGCAGAGGTAAAGTAGGCCCGTGTGTCCACATCTATACCCACTGTAAATATATGATGGGCTCATACAATAAATCCTAGGAACCCGATTGACATTATAGCCCAGGTTATACCTATATATCCAAATGGCTCTTTCTTCCCGGAGTAGTAAGTTACGATGTGGGAGATTATTCCGAACCCGGGGAGAATGAGGATGTAGACTTCAGGGTGACCAAAGAATCAAAATAGGTGTTGGTATAGGATAGGGTCTCCCCCTCCAGTAGGATCAAAGAAGGTAGTGTTGAGGTTGCGGTCTGTTAATAGTATAGTAATGCCGGCAGCTAAGACTGGCAGGGAGAGGAGTAGTAGGATTGCTGTGATTAGGACAGATCAGACAAATAACGGGGTTTGATACTGGGATATGGCGGGGGGCTTCATGTTGATAATGGTGGTAATGAAGTTGATAGCCCCCAGGATAGAGGAAACTCCTGCTAGGTGGAGGGAGAAAATAACTAAGTCTACGGAGGCCCCTGGGTGAGAGAGGTTTCCTGCTAAGGGGGGGTATACTGTTCAACCTGTTCCAGCGCCAGCCTCGATTATGGTTGATGCCATTAGCAGCAGGAAGGAGGGGGGAAGAAGTCAGAAGCTCATATTATTTAGACGGGGAAATGCTATGTCAGGAGCACCAATTATCAAGGGTACTAGTCAGTTCCCGAACCCTCCGATTATAATGGGTATAACTATGAAGAAAATTATAATAAATGCATGGGCTGTTACAATGACATTATAGATATGGTCACTGCCTAGTAAACTACCGGGTTGGCCTAATTCAGCTCGAATGAGAAGGCTTAGAGCTGTTCCTATGATTCCAGCTCATGCACCGAATAGTAGGTATAGAGTTCCGATGTCTTTATGGTTTGTTGAAAAGAGTCAACGATTAATGAACATGGGTGGAGGAAGGGTAAAATGGCTGAGTAAGCATTAGGCTGTAAACCTGAAGACAGAGGTCTGATCCTCTTTTTGCCAGCCCCGAGGTGATTTTCATGTTAAATTGCAAGTTTAAAGGAGCAGTTTTAAGTTTCTGCCGGGGCTTCTCCCGCCTTTTTTTCTCGCGGCGGGAGAAGTGGATCAAAGCCAGTTGATTAGGGTGTTTAGCTGTTAACTAAATTTTTATGGGTTTGAGTCCCATTGGTCTAGTAGGGGCTTAGCTTAATTAAAGTGGTTGATTTGCGTTCAATTGATGCACAGTAGGTTTTTGCAGTCCTTACGTGTTTCAGAAATTAAGTAATTTACTTACTAAGGGCTTTGAAGGCTCTTGGTCTTATTTAACCTAAATTTCTAAGGGGTAGTTAGGATTAGGGGGGAGATTGGTAGTAGGAGAGTAGAAATGATGGTGAGTGTGGGGATGAGGGGTATGGGTTTTGTGTTTTCAAGTTGTCAGTTCATTTTTGTGTTGTTGGGAGTGGGAGATAGTGATACTGAGACAGTGTAGATTAGGCGTATGTAGAAGTACAGGTTAAGTAGAGTTATGATGACTATGATGGAGGGGATGATGAAGTTGTTGTTTATTGTAAGTTCTTGAATAGTTATTCATTTAGGTAGAAAGCCGGTTAGCGGGAGTAAGCCTCCTAGAGATATGAGGGTGAATATTGTTAGTGGTATGAGTTGGGGTGATTTGTTTCAGGTAAGGGATAGTGTAAGGGTTGTGGTATTTGAGTTCAGGTTGAGGAATAGGAATATGGTGGTTGTTAGGGTAATGTATGTGGCTAGGTAGAAGGTTGTAATGGTTGAATTGTATGTTAGTGTTATTATTATTCAGCCTATGTGTGTGATCGAGGAGTATCCTATAATTTTGCGTAATTGTGTTTGGTTTAGGCCCCCTCAGCTGCCTACTACAATAGATAGGGTTGAGAGGGTTAGGAGGGCGTAGGTGTTGATTGATGGGTGGATTTGACATATAATTGAGATGGGGGCTAGTTTTTGTCATGTAAGGAGGAGTAGGCCAGGAATTAGGGGTGTTCCTTGGGTGACTTCTGGAACTCAAAAGTGGAAGGGGGCTATTCCTAGTTTTATGGCAAGGGCAGTTGTTATTATTAATGATGAGAGCTGATTGGTGGTACTTGTTATTGTTCAGTGCCCTGATAGTAGGTTGTTGAAAGTAATTGCTATTATAAGAGTTATGGATGCGGTGGATTGTATTAGGAAGTATTTGGTAGCAGCTTCTGTGGAGCGAGGGTTTGTTTTCTTGATTAGAATTGGGATGAAGGTTAATATGTTTATTTCTAACCCTGTTCAGGCGAGAAATCAGTGTGAGCTTAGTAGTGTAGTGAGTGTGCCTGTGATTATTGTGGTGTAGATAATGAGTTGGGCTAGGGGGTTAATTAGTACGGGAAGGGTGTGACCAACATTTTCGGGGTATGGGCCCGATAGCTTATTTAGCTGACCTTACTTTAGGATGGGGTGTGTTAGGTAGCACGGAGAAGTTTGGATTCTCAGGGGTAGGTTCAATGCCTGCAATCTTAGAAATAAGAGGGTTGGGGCCTCTATCATTTACTCTATCAAAGTAACTCTTTTGTCAGACATATTTCTAGGTTTGAGGAGGAATGCTGGAGATTGTAGCGGGTGTTAAGATGTTTCATGTGAGAAATGCTAGTGTGAGTGGAAGGAAATTTTTTCATAGTAGATGTATGAGTTGGTCGTAGCGGAATCGGGGGTATGTTGCTCGAGTTCATAGGAATAGGGAGGTTAGGAGGAGCGTTTTGGTGGTAAAGCATGTTGTGAATAATTCTGGCGAGTGGGTGGGGTAGAATGTGCCTAGAAAGATTGTAGTTGTTAGGGCGTTCATTATAATAATGTTTATGTATTCGGCTATAAAGAATAGGGCGAATGGACCTGCGGCATACTCGATGTTAAAGCCTGATACTAGTTCTGATTCGCCTTCTATGAGGTCGAAGGGGGTTCGGTTTGTCTCTGCTAGTGTGGAGGTGAATCATATTATGGCTAGAGGTCATGATGGCAAGAGGAGTCAGATATGCTTTTGTGTTGTAATGAGCATGTTAAGGTTAAATGAGCCACTTGTTAGTAAGACTGATAGCAGGATAATAGCGAGGGTAACTTCATATGAAATTGTTTGAGCAACGGCTCGTAGGGCTCCAATTA